CAGGTAACAGCCTAAATAATTCTGAACAATGTAAGAGGCGCCATGCTAAATCAGACCGAAGGCCTAACTAGTTGCCAGGGTTCTGCTCCTAGCAGGCCAGAAGGGGGAAGCAGCCAGAAGTGGTCAGAGCAAGTTTGTCTTAAGACTTCTGTACTACATCTTTCAAACACACTCTCTTCAGGGTAACCTCTGATAAGGACCCAACAGTATAGAGTTAATTTTAAAAAAACCTTTGAAACTAGACAGCAAGTAAAGAGTACCATCAAAATCTTATACTGGTGCTTACACACAATTAAAATCTCTGGGGAAATGCATCAAAATAAGGTGGCAGCTGAGTATTCCACAATGCATTCTATGATGTATAATGGAAGCACTAGAAATGGGGCTCCATAGATTACCTTCAGGCACAGGAAAGCTGTTAAAAATGGTATTCTGATCCTAAGCTATGAAGAGGTTTGGAAGATAAGATCCAGAAGTCAAACTAACCCCAGAAACAAACAAGGAAATGGACAAATGTTTCAACATTGGCAAGACAGATTCCTAGTACCTGCTCCCAAGTCAGCACATTTGCAAGAGTATTCTGCATTCACAAAAACTTCTAAACTTCAAAGACAAGTTCCGTGTATAATTACAGTACTTTAAGCTAATGTTTACCAGGGCACAAAGGTAACTGATCCTGCACTTGCTCTCTTTAGGAATGGTCTCAGCTGGCGCACCAACCCAAGTTGTTGAAAGCTCATGCTGAATGTAGGAGTTTCCCCAAACTATCACTGTGTTTTAGAACAAATTCAATCAAATCCCAAACAGGTAGACCACCACTTACTGGACAAAGAAGCAACTTCCAAATAGCACTAGTTCCTCATCTAGACTGAGCTTCAACTAGTAGCCTTTTTTCAGACTACTGTATTATCCAGACCAGACACCAATTCAGTTCCAGTGTCTTACCCAAATCAAATGGAAGTGAGGCACTGGGCATTAACTGTACTGTATATCCAATGGTACTTTCGGCTTTCACTCAGCATTTTTAATACATAATATAGCCTAGGGAACTTAATTGTGAAGGAGTAGCCATCTAGCATAACACTTTCTGAAACTGCACCTAAGCAAGAGTGAATTACTGTAACACCACATTCAAAATCCACAACTATGATAGCCTAAAGAAACTACGGAAATGGAAAATGTTTTCATTGCAGAAATGAAGTTGCCAGATTAAAAGTCAAATATTGTCACAAGTTAATTTAAATACAGTGGTGCCTCGCATAGCGACGATAATCGGTGCAGCAAAAATCGCTGCAAAGCGATTTCGTCACTATGCGATTTTTAAAAGCCCATAGGAATGCACTAAAACCCCTTAAATGCGTTCCTATGGACTTCAGACTCAACTTTAAATGAAAATCCTCCATAGGGCGGCCATTTTCGCTGCCCGGTAAGCGAGGAAGCCGTCCCAAAAAACAGCGGGTGGCCATTTTTTTTACCCAGTGGCCATTTTGGAACCGCCGATCAGCTGTTAAAAAATCATCGCTTTGCGATGATCAGTAAGCAAAACAGGGTACCGATCATCGCAAAGTGATTCTTGCCCATTTAAAACATCACAATGCGATCGCTTTTGTGATAGCAAAATCTTCATCACTATGCGATTTCGTTGTTAAATGGGGCGCCTGTTATGCGAGGCACCACTGTAGCTTTAATTTGTATTTTAACCACTTGAGTGTGGATTGTGAAACAGGCACTGCAAAACAGCACAGAGTGCTCTACTAAAACTATTAAAAAGTACACTGTATAACTAGGAACTGGATTATCCAAGGAAATTTTGTGTGTCATTCAGAAGAACCCTATTAAATACAGTATTATGTCTCTCTATATAAGTAGATTATTAGTGAAACAATTTGTTTTATTAGAGATAATTATTAAATAACTAGTTGGGTCTGGTACCTAGAGCCTTAATTGAGGATGCCTAAATGTTATTTCTTGGTTCCATATTTCAGCTGATTTAATTTGCATATTTCTTGTTTATCTGCATTATGTAAGTTTATTATTTTGCTTCCAGGGGACTGTGGCCATATACTTCACTTTCCCCTACAATACAGCCTAAGGCAACAATCTCATATATTATTGCTAATTCTGAGCAGATATGTATTTGGAACATATAGACTATGATCACACATAACAAATATAATCTCAAATGTTTTATCAAAGTGATACAGAAGAAGAACACATGCAGTTTTGTGGTCCCTTGTAATCGTAATAAAGAATTCAGAAGAAGTTAGTTAGGCAAAAGAATCCCTTTGTGGGCAAGAATCCCATAGAAGAAATGGAGTAGCCCTCATAGTCAACAAAAGAGTGGGAAAAGCTGTACTGGGATACAATCTCTAAAATGATAGAATGATTTCAATACAAATCCACAGCAGACCTTTCAACATCACGGTAATCCAAGTTTATGCACCAACCACCGATGCTGAAGAGGTTGAAACTGACCAATTCTATGAAGACTTAGAACACCTTCTAGAACTGACACTAAAGAAAGATGTTCTTCTCATTCTAGGGGATTGGAATGCTGAAGTAGGGAGTCAAGAGATAAAAAGAACAACAGGAAAGTTTGGCCTTGGAGTTCAAAACGAAGCAGGGCAAAGGCTAATAGAGTTTTGTCAAGATAACAAGCTGGTCATCACAAACACTCTTTTCCAACAACACAAGAGGCGAATCTACACATGGACATCGCCAGATGCGCAATACCAAAATCAGATTGATTATATTCTCTGCAGCCAAAGATGGAGAAGCTCTATATGGTCAGCAAAAACAAGACCTGGAGCTGATGGTGGCTCTGATCATCAGCTTCTTATAGCAAAGCTCAAGCTTAAACTGAAGAAAGTAAGAAGCACCACTGGGCTAGTCAGGTATAATCTAAACCAAATCCCTTATGAATACACAATGGATGTAAAGGACAGATTTAAGGAACTATATTTGGTGGTCTGAAGAACTATGGATGGAGGAGGCAGCAACAAAAAAACATCCCAAAGAACAGGAAATGCAAAAAACCAAAGTGGCTGTCCAGTGAGACCTTATAAATAGCAGAGAAGAGAAGGAAAACAAAATGCAAGGGAGATAGGGAAAGTTACAGACAACTGAATGCTGACTTCCAAAGAATAGCAAGTACAGACAAGAGGACCTTCTTAAATGAACAGTGCAAAGAAATAGAGGAAAATAATCGAAAAGCCAGAGATCTGTTCAAGAAAATCAAAAAAACTAAGATCATGACCACTGGACCCATCACCTCCTGCCAAATAGAAGGGGAAGATATGGAAGCAATGACAGATTTTACCTTCTTGGTCTCCATGATCGCTGCAAATGATGGCAGCAGCCACAAAGTTAAAAGACAACTGCTTCTTGGGAGGAAAGAGATGACAAACCTAGACAGCATCTTAAAAAGCAGAGACATCACCTTGCTGACAAAGGTCCGCATAGTCAAATCTATGGTTTTTCCAGTAGCGATGTATGGAAGTGAGAGCTGGACCATAATGAAGGCTGACCGCCAAAGAATTGATGTTTTTGAATTGTGGTGCTGGAGGAGACTCTTGAGAGTCCCCTGGACTGGAAAGAGAACAAACTTATCAATTCTGAAGAAAATCAACCCTGAGTGCTCACTGGAAGGACAGATCCTGAAGCTGAGGCTTCAATACTTTGGCCATCTTATGAGAAGAGAAGACTCCCGGAAAAGACCCTGATGTTGGGAAAGTGTGAAGGCAGGAGGAGAAGGGGATGACAGAGGAGGAGATGGATGGACAGTGTTATCAAAGCTATCAACAGGAATTTGACCCAACTCCGGGAGACAGTGGAAGATAGGAGGGCCTGGTGTGCTCTGGTCCATGGGATCACAAAGAGTCCGACAAAACTTAATGACTAAACAACACAAGCTTGGCACAAACATGTCTTTTCAGATCACAGGCATCCACAGTTGGCTCACTGGTGGTTTTTACAGCTGCTAACTGATTATTTTGCAATGTATGGCCATGGTGGCCTGTTCATGTTTTATCAATTGACAGAAGATGGTGTCCTGATAGCTGGGGTTCTCTGTGTTTTTGAGTGATACATCCATTTGATTTTGAGAGGGTGACGCTCCTCCAGCTGCAAGCAAGGGACAACAGGAAGTATAGATGGTACTTTGGAAGAAAATCAGGATGCTCTTAGCTCTTTTCTATATTTGGATTTGGCTGTAAATGTGCTTATAGCCTTAAATATCTGCCCAGTTAGCACTTTGACAATCTGTTTTGTAGGTCAGCCTGGCTATCTGTGCCATTTCTATATGCACACAGGAGCAAAACTGCAAAGTCATAAAATTCATTCTTCAAAACTACAAGGTCTCTAAGTTCTCATATCCAAGCTTCCTCAAATTCATTTGCATTGCTGGCATTTTTACACCCCCACCCACATTCACGTTTGTGCATAGATGCCCATACAGTATCTTTGAAGAAGGGATCTTCCATCTTGACCTTCAGTGATATACACCAATATAAGAAGTGCAATATCCTGGTTATTTATTATCAGGCACCAGCATGTATCTGCCAAGAGGGTAAAAGGGTAAAACCAGTATGAAAAGCAAGTTAGCAAATCTCAGAAACTGTGGGCAGCATTTACAGATTCTATAAATATCCCAGTGCACTCTACTGTAACTGCCAGCAGCTGTAAACAATGGCATCAGACACCACAACCAAATAAGCTCATTATTTCAGAGGATCAGCTTGCAACAAAATGAAGTGGTAAGTGAGAGGTTAACAGTGCTACAGACAATGGGAATCCAAATAGTGTGAATCTCTAAACAACTCCCTTTTCTTTTATCTCATTTCAATGTATGTCTGTGCATGCAGTGAAGAGTTAAATGGGAACAATTCAGGTAAATGAGGGGAAATCATGTGCCTCATAATGTGCTTGGTCCTCAAACATGAAAAACTACAAAAAAAGAGATCACTTTCATAAAACCATTTGTATTTCCCCACAGCTCTGCATTAACTGAAGAAATGTCATTTTATTTTTCTTCCATTCATATGTAACAACTATGGCAAAAAATGTTGAAGAAACCATAGGCAACACATAAGGGGCTGATTAATTAGTCTGGGTTCTTTTAATTTTCCTTTTTTATGGAATGCTAGTTTCATGTTACAGGATAGCAGTTCACGCATCTAGTGAAATATGACACATGTTCATTAATATCTGAATGCTGCAAAATGATCTTGCTCCATAAGCCAACAGTGTTTCTTTTAAAAAAAAAATCAAAGCAGTTACTTTACATTGTTGAGGTCTCATGGCAATTCAAGCTCTGATGCTGAAATGAACAACAAGCTCCAAATCTCAGATATGACATCTATACATATAGTCTACGTATGCCTTTAGATAGCTTGCGTGGAGAATTATGTACACATCTGGTACAGACACATGCACATCTATGCACACTTATGTCACTATGGACTCCCTTTTAGCAGACAGCTTTAAAAATGTTTTTAGAACTATTGTTATTCTTTATCATAGCCCCCTAAAATTTCTAGCACATGATTTCAGCTCAAATATTCTATTCTTTCCAATGCAGGGTAGGGCGGTTTTAAACATGTTTATAACAGGATCACTAAATAAAACATCTCCCCTCTCCCACTTAAGAGGTTCATGACTAGTGCATTAGAGAGTCTTTCCAACATGGATTCTCAATTTTATAAGACCTAAACCTGGAAAGGCTCTGGGTATATATTTGCTTTTTAGGTACAAAAAATATAAGATTGAAACCTACTGCATACTTTAGATCTCTGAACTTAGTTATGTTCTAGCCATACACACACACACACACACAAATTTAAAAATGGCACCCTCTAAGCAGGATGAGGAAATGGCCTAAAGTAAGCCATTATCTGCAATTCCTATTAAAAAGTCAACTGCTCTCAAAATGTCAGAAGACTGAAGAGCACCAGATACTTAAATATATAAATGTGGGAACTTTAATACTTGAAGTCTCATTTAATTCCCCAGTATTTTTCCAGGATGGTATGCTTTGCAATTATTTTGTCAATATTCATCCTGAAATGCGTTAAATATAATCCTAGCTTGCTAAACTGAACATTCTTAAAGTGTACCATTAAACAAAGTTAAGTTTAAAAGAACGAAGTTCTCAAAGCAGCCTATACAAGTTCCTGTAGATACAGGAAAAGGGGCGTGACAGACCTAGCTCAAAGAGAAGTAAAACTTATCAACATGTGCAAAACCTGTTAGATTTCATTTCCTATCAAACAGCAATTTGTAGCTATTCTGGAAATTCAGAATGACCTTATAATCTAAGGTTTTAACAATACAAATGTTTAAGACCTAACTATCCTAAAGTGAAGCTGGCTCTCTTCACAAGACCAGACCCACCTCCTAATTTTCCACAAGTGTATTTACATGTTTTGCCAAAAGTTAACTGCAGATACTTCAAAATTTGCTGAATATCAGCTGAAAATGCCAGCTACCAGCCATTGTATTAAAATAGTTATTTGAGTGATTGCATAAACTTTTCAAGACTGTATTCTGAGTCATATTGTTCTTGATCCCAAAGTTCGCCAAGATTTTCAAGAACTGACTTCATACTTGTTTTACCAGAAGCAGAAGCAATTTTTTCTGTTTTTTCAGCTTTTCCATCCTTAAAGACAGGAAGAGAAAGGGAAGGGGAGAGAGCAAGAGAGTACATTAAAATCTCTGTGCTTTAAGAGCTGCAATCTGTAGATCTAAACTTAAGGCAATAATTCATACCATTCACTTAAATTGGGATTCCTGTCATCAAGGGACAATAATTATAATTTCAAATCTTACCAAGCATCATGGACTAATAAAAATCAAAACAAACTTCTGTAGCACTAATCACTTGTTTTCATATAAGTTACCTTATCAAGAGTGAAGAGGTCAAGAAGTTGATCAGTTCCCATGCTCTGCAGACTAGTATTTTCTTGACTAATCACCGTATTTGCGATATTCATTTTGAACTTCTGGAGACCCATTATTTTTTCTTCTAAGGTTCCTCTTGTTATCAAGCGGTAAACATTAACAACTCGTTTCTGCATGACACAGTTAACAGCTGTGAGCATTTAATGCAAAATACACAGAGCAACCAGCCAAAAGAAACTGCCACATAAGAGAAAACAGAAGACTCTTCACATAAAATACAGTTAAATCAAGATGGAAGCAGTGAAGAACTACATAAATTCATTCTCTGCCAGATCATTTTTCATAGCGCTTTCATCCGAGTTTTGCATACCAATGAGATAATGCCCACGTAAGAGCACAAGGCCTGCTCAATCAAGAGTGCGCAGCTCAAAGGCAAACTAATGAGAAATTTCTTAAGTAGCAGACAAGGAACAGCAAGATATTATCATATACATAAATAGCACCTTCCCTAAGGGATCTCTTGGATGAATAGCAAACATCTAGTTTTTGATGGAGGGAAAAAGTAAAGTAGACATAGTAGAAACTTCAAGAGGTAGAGCAAGAGATTAGAGTGGAACACAAATCTCCTGCCCTGCATCCCTCTTTGCTGGTTTGCCTGTCTCCTAATTTGTTTGATCAAACTTACAGCACTGTTTTAGAGAACAATATATAATATAAACACTGAGGGGTGCAGCCCTATATGAACTTGCTTTTAGAAGGTTTAACCATTTTTTTCTTACCAAAATGACTTTAACTGATCTTCAATCCAAACAATTTGTTCTTACCTGCCCAATCCGATGTGCGCGATCCATGGCTTGGAGATCTTTCATTGGATTCCAGTCATGTTCAACAAATACCACTGTATCTGCTCCAGTTAAATTAAGACCCAGTCCACCAACGTGAGTGGTAAGCAAGAGTACATCTATGGAAGGATCATTATTAAACCTGCATGTGAAGAAGTATATTTTATGCAACATTTATGAGAGAAGCAACTGCAGCCACATGTACCTGCTGCGGCAAATGAAACAGACCAAACAGTAAGGGAGAGGAAGGAAGAAAAAGAACAGAATCTGAAACTAGACTGGTTTAAGGAGGCATAATTTTATCACTATCAGCTTTCCAGATATTTTAGGCAGGAATCACAATCTCAGTTAAAATGGCCCATCTACTAATCATGGCACCACCAACCTGTCTGCTTCGGATGTGGATGATGGAGAGATGAAAGCCAGCTTACGAAAGCTGATGACATGAATTGTTTCTACCTGCTATTACTGAACTGGATTGGCTTGAGAAGATCTACCTCAAAAGCCCTCCAAAAGAAATCTCACATGTGAGAAGTGGACCTTCATCCATCCTGAAGCAAGTCCCTCCTTGATGACCATGCATCAGTCAGCTGGCAACTATGAACCCTGAAATGTTTCAACAAATTCCCTTGTGAGGCAAAACATTTCTCATGATTACCAGTAAATGCAGAATTCCTCTTTTAGCTCTGCTAACTGTAGAATGACTTGTAGGCCAAAACAAATAAGAAGTCATCTTAAAAATGTAAATATGCAATGAAAAAACTGCTCTAGCCAACCCACTGTTCAGGCCTCAATTTATAGCTAAAAATGTATTAAAGAGGACTATCCACCCTTAATCTTATACTTAGGCTCCAAGTCATTGAGCACCAACCAGAACACTTGTTTTTACCCAGAAGGTTCCTTCCAGTTTAACATGATGGATATCCACAGTGGATTACCTCCTACTTTCTCAAGGAACCACATAACCTAGCTTTTTGTTTTATGCCCATTCAAAGTATAGTCCTCAGTCTGGTACCAAACTTCTAGGAGAAACATCGTTGTGGAAGAGAAATGTAAAATGCAGTGCAAATTGTAAGAGAAAATCTTGAAAACATGATGGCTTCTGATGTAGCTATACTGAATAAGTATAACTAGGTGACCTATCCAGAAGTTAATCTCTGGTTGAAAGAAAGAACAAAAAAAAACCTGAAAAGGAGAAGGGGAATGTGCTTGTAATGTCTCTGCTCTCCAAATGCACCAACATCTTTGTTGGATGGCACATCAGTGTTGCATTCTCCATCTGATGTGATTCTGAAGAAGTAGTCAAGATGGGATATATAAAGATTTGTGGCGGCTCAGTTAAGTTTACGGACCTTGTAGGGACGGAGGGAGAATTCATGGTAACGGAGATTCTGAGAGTCCTGAGTATGTCTAAAAAAAAACTAACCTGTGCCATTCATGACTGGAAGTAAGGGGAGGTTCAGGATGGAAAGTGGCAAGGATCAACTCTTATAATCCAAAAGTAACATGGAGCTAATCTTTGGAATGAAGGAAAAGCCCAGTTTAAGGCCCATTCTGTCTACACAGAATGCACATATGATCCTTAACCACTGAGAAATTGAAGTTGCTGATATTTCTGGTTAAAGCTACAGCTATTAATGAGAACAAAGCTGAAAGACAGGATTCTCAGTGGCACTATCCTTGGAGGGGTGGGCAACTGTCTCTTCAGATGTTTTTGGATTTCCGCTCCAACAACAGTCATGGACTAGAAAAATAACCCAATCAGACAATGTCAGCCTGCTACGAAAATTTAAGTCTTTCTGGATTGTTGTTTGCATTTAAATACATCTTAAAAGTCAAGAAGCTGCTTTTTAAAGTTAACATAGCACTTTATGGATACTATTATCTATGATGGCCTTTTATGCTCTGTATTTAACCACGTTCATATGAACTATTCTAGTGCAGTTTCTAAACTTGCCATTGACAAAGGACATACGCGATGAATTGGACTGTTCTGCAGAACCACATGTCTCTTGGCCAGAATGGGAATTCTAAAATTAGTGATTGTTATTCCAGCTATATTTTGCACCGCATCTACCATAGCAAAGTGATCGCATGATAGATGTATAGCAGGGTTCCCCAACTCCCGGTCCGTGGCCCGGTCCTGGGGCTTCCTTGAACTGGGCCGTGGACACGGATCTCCGCCCCCCTGCACACATGCACAATGGGTGTGTTGAGCTTGTGGGTGGGCATGTCACGCTTGTGGACGGGCGTGTCGCGCTTGTGGGGTGGGTGTGTTGCACTCATGGCTGGATGTGTCGTGCTTATGGGCATGCGCACAAGCACAACACGCCCCTCTGCAAGTGCAACACACCCACCCTGCAAGCGTGACACGCCCACCTGCAAACGTGACATGCCCACCCGTGAGCGTGGGGGTGCCCCCGCCCCCCCGCACACAGAGCCCGCACCCCGAAGCCAGTCCGCAGTCTAAAAAAGGTTGGGGACCGCTGAGGTATAGTAGGTTTCAGGATTAAAGTTGACGCTGTTGATGCTAATACATCCCTTCTGCAGGAATCTCGAGAAGAACCAAGGCACTTTGTAGTTTACAGGGAGAAAAATAAATCAATGTCAGGAAAGCAAAGCTGGTTCTGAACTGGTTTGAATGTGGATTGATTTAGACTTCTCTCCGCTGGCTTGATATGTTGGTAAAAACATTCATGTGCCATAATACTGGAAATGCCTCAGATGATCCTTGCCCAGGTTAAGAAACCCTCTGCCTCTCAATCAAGAAAGGAAGAATTGCTCCTCCCAGATCTGCTGATATGAACTTTGGATGCTGCGATGTTCATTTTTGTTGAAAGATGGAGAAAAATGAATAAGAGACCTAAACTGATGCAGTGGGATTCCTGTCACTTGATACTATGCCTGGCTTCCTGCTCTGGACAGGTTTATTGGACTACATATGACTTGGAATGGATGTCTGAACATCTTAAGAGTGCCAGATGTAGACACTTCCCTGGAAAAGATGCAGAGATTCATCTACCCTTTGAACAACTGTAACATGTAACAAGTGGAGTCTGCAGTGACACTGTTTGGCCATGTTGGCCTTAAAAGGAAACAGGAATCACTGGAGGGGTCTAGAATGGAGGCATGCCTAAGACAGCATCACTGGTATCATGAGCCTAGGATATAGGCTAGGGCCTTCATGACCATCTTCCTGTGTGATAAAAGAGGTCTGGTGTCTGGAAGGATCTTCTGTATTTTTGAATAAACAAATATAACCTGTGCTAGATTGTATTTTGGTCTCTTGGATATTGACTACTCTTGCACAGGTTCACTATGAAATAGTGGCCAGAATTAAGCTAATTGCCACTTATGGATTAGGTGTGTGGGGCACACCTTGGCTGCATGCCTGGTGCCCAACTGAGTAACTCTGATGGATGCCAGCACTTTGTCAATTAGCAACAAAGCTGCAATATGTTATGCAAACCTTACACATACACCACTAGGAATCTGGCCAGTAGTTCTGGGAGCATGGCAAGGTGTGGATGCAGTCCTGTCTCTGCATATGCACCAACATTGATGTCTACAGCAGAAGTCAAAGACAAATTCGCGCACAATCTGGCAGCTACTATAAAAAAATCTCCAAGAGAGAGCCACTGTTTATTCTCAGAGACTTTAACGCTAGAGTTGGTGCTGATGACAGTTCTTGGCCCACTTGTCTAGGCCGTTTTGGCATTGGGAAGATGAATGAAAAAGGCCAACACTTGCTGGAGTTTTTCTGTTATTATGGTCTTCATGTCAGCAACACGTTCTTTAATACGAAGCTTCGACACAAGAGTCTCTTGGAGACATCCAGGATCGAAGCATTGGCATCAGCTTGATTTGATCCTCACTAGATACTCTAGTCTTTCTAGTATTATGATCACACGCAGTTATCAGGATGCTGATTGTGATACTGATCACTCCCTGGTGTGTAGCAGAGTAAAACTGCAAACAAAAAGAGATTAAATCACACGAAAAAGGAAAGAAGACAACGTATCGACATCAGTAAGACTTGCGATCAGAGAGAAGTGGAGGAATTTGCCCAAGTACTTGAGGAAACTCTTCCAGGTCCGGCTGGTGCAAATGCACCTGAACGATCGGAACATTTCAAGAATGCTGTTTATAACACTGCCTTGTCCACATTTGGCAAGAAGACCAAAAAGACAGCAGACCGGTTCGAAGCCCATTCAGAGGAGCTGATGCCAGCCATCAAGGATAAGAGGAGAGCTCTAGCAGCATACAAAGCCTGTCCTAGTGAGTACAACTTGCAGGCTCTTTGAGTTGCCCGTAGCAAAGCCCAACAGACTGCCAAGAGATGTTCTAATGATTATTGGCTTCAGCTCTGCTCTCAGATACAGGTAGCAGCAGACACAGGAAACATTAAGGGAATGTATGACGGTATTAAGCAGGCTTTAGGTCCAATACAGAAGAAATCTGCTCCTTTGTAGTCTGCTACAGGCGTGATCATCCAGGACTGAGCACAGCAGATGGAACTTCTCTGAGCTATATTCCAGAGAGACTGTAGTAACCGAAGAAGCATTAAACAACTTTGAGTGCCTGCCTGTCTTGGAAGAGTTGGACAGCAAACCAACTTTAGCAGAAATAAAAGTGGCCTTGGATTCCCTCGCCTCCGGTAAGGCATCTGGAAAGGATAACATCCCTGTTGAAGTGCTATAAAGAGATCATCACCACTGAGCTGTGCGACATCTTTTGTCTTTGCTGGAGGGAAGGTGAAGTACCACAGGACATGAAGGATGCAAACATTGTCACATTGTATAACAACAAAGGAGACGGGCGACTGCAATAACTACCGTGGCATCCCTCTTCTCAGGGTTGTAGGGAAGCTGCTTGCCTGTGTTGTGCTAAAGAGACTCCAAGTGCTTGCAGACAGAGTCTATCCAGAATCACAGTGTAGATTTCGAGCTAATAGATCCACCACTGACATGGTATTTCCCTTCAGACAGCTGCAGGAGAAATGCAGGGAACAACAACAGCCACTCTTTGTGGCCTTCATAGATCTCACAAAGGTCTTTGATTTGGTTAGCAGGGATGGCCTTTTTAAAATACTTCCCAAGACTGGATATCCACCTTCAGGTCCTTTCAAAATCTATCATGGAGTTGTCACAATGTTCAAATGCCTTCTATCAGTTGGATGTTACTGGGTTTGGCTGCATCCAGCACTCAGTACCACCATCTGGTGGTTTATTGGAAGGAGGCTTTCACTTTCAAGAAAGGACAATGACACCTCAGGCTGAACTGTCTTAATGGAGAGAAGGGTTTAAACACAGGTACTACTTGCCACTACTTGAACACATCTGTCTGTTGAAGGTGGGAGCATAAAGGAAAAAGAAAAAAAAGAATTGTTGGCGTGGAAAGCTTTGGTCATGGTGAGTGGACTGCATAAAAAGTAGTGACATAAGTATTCAGATTGTTCATCTTTCCCTTTTGCAGATTTGCCTGGAAGGCATATGTACTTTGGTACCATGAAGAGCAAGAAGGGAATAAAAGTAAGGAGTGTTTTTAAATGTTAGAAAGGGAAAAAAACAGAGGGTTTTTTAATACTGCCCTCCCCCCCAAAAACAGGGGGAGCGTATTCGAGAAACCCTGCTGGAAAGTGAATATTGCATCTGTCCTACTGTCTAACTGAGAAAAACAAGAAACTGAATTCTGTGCTCACCTTCTGCTAGATGATGGCACACTCAGCCTTACTTGTCCTCCCACAGATACACTGCTAAACCATTCACTAACAGAATTATTATGTATACATTGGGGATGTGCAAGAATGGGTGTTGTTTACAGGTGTATATGTTGCCTTTGCCAAACTGGCAGTGCTATTAAGGAATTACCAACTCTGCACCTGCCTCCACAACAAATGCATAATACTGTATGCTTGGAGACAAAGCAGTTGTGCTTGGACTGCTCCTTCCACAGTGGTACATGTCATACTGATTCTGGACACTAAATAGGAGGCCCTTATGCTGAGCAGCAAAGAGGAAAAACCTCCTAATTTGTATCCAGCATGTCAAACATATAAAGTAATATACAGAGTGCTCAAGATGTACCCAAATGACATGTCTATCCTAATCAGCTACAAGATCTCTCAAAAACAATGAGAAACCCCAAACAGAAAACTCCTTTATGAGAAAATAATTGCCATTGGCTTTACCGGGAAACGATGGAATGTCTCTGACCAGCAGGGATGCTGCCGTCCAATCGCAGGTAAGTAATAGAAGGCAAGTGAGGTTTGAGAAGATCATGTTCTACTATATCCAGCATGCTTTTGAGTTGACAGAAGATAAGAATCCTGTGTTGGGCAACTATGGTTTCTGTGCCACTTTCTGGAGAGCCGCCATTTCCCAAGCCACAATCTAACAGCAACTTAAAACACAAACATAAAAGTCTATCAGTCACTAAATGTAGGGTGATAGTCTTCAGTCAATAGTACTTGATACAATGTCACTAGGGAGGGATCATGGCTCAATTAGAAAGTATATTCTTTGTGCGCTGAAGGATTCAGGTTCAGCAACAAATAATCAGGTAGCAGGTGATGCGAAAGATCTCAGCTTGTGATCTTGAGAAGCCACTGCCAGTCAGAGTAGGTAATACTAATCTATGAGAATAAACCCTATGACTTTGTGCAATGCACCTTTCTGTGTCCCTTAAATTTAAATTTAAAATGTGAAACAGATGGAGCGGTGTGCTGCTCCACTGCAAGAAAACAATGGATTCTTAGACCCTTCAGCTACACATGCACATGCCACAGAAGTACATTCATGGATCAGTTGAAATGCAGCACAATTTTCTTTAGTACTAGTGTTCCATTATGTCAAAACAGGAACTAGACCGACAGCCTGCTGACATAACACAAAGTAGGTTCATTTTTCATAAAAGACTCTTAAATCCAAGACTACAAGACAAATACTGGGTTCTGCCTGATTGCATATATTTGTATAAATAGTTCTGTAAGTATGCTGAATATTTTCCTTAGATGTGCATATAATGAAGATCTAGAGAAGTGGCAAGAACAACTTTAAAGAGCATTCTTCTCTTAAAGTCAGTCAGTCAGCCTCATGTGTCCTACCTGTTTTAAAGCAGAGAGTTTAGGTGCATGTTGAATGTCTCGAAGGGACGAGTTCTCAGCTGCCAGCTTCTCCGTGATTCTTTTATGTTCCGGATGATGAGCAGTTAGAACTAATGCTGGATGGTTGCATAGTTTCCTTAAATACTGCAGTGCCTTTAAAAATAAGCAGTAAAGTAACTAATTAAATATGTGAGGCAATTTAGGACGTATTTAATTCAGACACAGCAAAATAAGTGTAGTTCTGTTTCACATGAAATCATGAAAAAAACCCAGACCAACTGGGCCAACTGCAGTAAACGGTAATCACTCTATTGTCATATTGCACAAAATAGAAATAAATGGAATAAATAGTTTTTATCAAGAGGTTTTTCAGGGGATCTTATACTTTCTTTGAGGAAAAAAATCATTATGTTGTTCTAATTGGTACACGGGCAGAGTGTCCACTATGTATACAACCAAACTAAAGCTGTTCTCAGAAACAAGAGCTCACGGATAATTTATATACCACCTTGGCACAGCATCCAAAACTGTACCCCTAAAACTGTATCAAAAGTAATGTCCATCAGTGATAAAATAAAGAAACAAGGTAGCACATAATCAAGGTTCAAGGTTTAGTACAGTGGTTTTATAGTCTTTCCCAAACATTAGGGCCAGAATCTCACTACATGTTTATCTGCATGGAAGAGGAATTGCAACAGATAGGCTGGATATAAATAGAATAAATAAATAAATAAGAAGCTGGTGCAGCACATTGATGAGGTCCTGAGCAAAATGCCTGGTGATGTGCACAATAACTTCCACAATCCTCTTCCTCACAAAAAAAGAGGAAGCATATGCCCTAGGTGTTAAACATTCAAACTAGATCTCCTACATTCTATAACCAATTTTAACTATTTATTCATTCAGTACAATGAGAACCTAAGAATACATTGCATTATTCTTGAAAAATTACAGAGCCTTTTTTTAATAAAATGAATCAACCATCATTTATATATCACACTTCTGTTCTGGAGATGTAAATCAGAGGTGGCACATTCACTAAGCAACAATCGTAGTAGGCTCCTGAACATGTTTTAACTGTTTCTAAACTACAGAAAACTATTATGTTTACTAACGAGACAAAACAAAATATAAATGAAATTCCAACCTGGAACACATGTCCTGTGGCTTTAAGTTTCGGTTTTTCAGTTTCCTCAGTCAGTGAAGCAACTGAAACAGTTTCTTCTATGTCACATTTGGCTCGTGACTTAGCAAAATCTTCATAAAGCTGAACCTATAAAAATAATATGGTTCACTAATTGATAGAACATATAATTGTAAAATCTATTAAACTATTTTATAAAATACATAATATTCCTTTAATATGGTGAGGGCGCTTGAGTGTGTCAGGGAAGCTAAGAGGAATACCATCAAGAACCGGGACTCTGTTGTAGGCCTCTACTTTGACCAGGGTCGTTACAGGCAAAATGGTCCAAGCTGAAGCACCAGAGGAAGGTGCATCAACCCAAGCTGAAGCACCAGAGGAAGATGCATCAACCCTCTTCAGGAATTAGCAGTTGCATCGAGACAACTGGTAGTTGCATTGGTGATGGATGTAGTGAAACTCAAGGGTAGTTACTGGAATCCAGCTGTGGAAGCTGACAAGGATTTTTCACAGACAATGGCAGTGACTGTCAAGCTAGCTTCTTAACATCAACATAGGAGGCAACAATGGTAAGCTACTGCTGAAAATTTTATATCTGGAACACTCTATGAGACAATTAAATATTAAAAAAGAGATACTTATAGAAAATGAGTCTTCTAAGTCAAAAGTCAATCATTCAGTTACTGAGGAAGAGCAACAGGTTAAGTATAAACAATGCCATTTCTCGTAAAGCAACTGGATTACAGTGGTGTCTCGCTTGACGATGATAATCCATTCCGTTAAAATACCTGTTAAGCAATCTCGTCGTCAAGCGAAATAAACCCATTGAAATGCATAGAAAACCGGTTCAATGCGTTCCAATGGGCGAAATACCTTATCGTCCAGCGAAGATCCTCCACAGGCGAAGCCATTTTCTGTCGCTGTCTTCCGGAAATAGGTCCGGAAAACAGCAGGTGGCCGTTCTGAAACCCAATGATAAGCTGGTTTTGATCGTCGTAATGCGAAGAATCGGTTCCCGAAGCAGGGAACCAATTGTCGTGAAGCGGATTTTCCCCATTCACTCATCATTTTGTGATCACAATAGCGATCACAAAAACCTCATCATGAAGGGGGGTAATCGTTAAGCGGGGCACCACTGTAAAGCCAACAGCATGTCTTTGCACAGAGGCAAAATAGATGTCCGATACTACAGGACATGTGACTGGAACACAGAATGTGAGAAATACGAATCAAGGTAAATTTGAAATCTTCAAATAAGAAATGGAACAATTAACATTGCAATACTCGGGCTAAGTATGCTAAAGAGAACTATAGTAGTAGACACTTTCAGTCAGATAATTATGAAGTGTTTTCCTACGAAAGCAGACTCGGAAGAAACAGTGGTCAGATCTTAATTGAAAATGTGCATTTCGGAAGCTGTGTAAGCCTTGGAAACTGCTTCTTATTAATTAGGTTCTAGCTGCACACCTCATTAATACATAGTAATTTGGTTATCTCGATTTATGATTTTTCCCTTCTGCAGGAAAAAAAAAAACTGCCAATAAGATTCTGGCTGGTATGACTCTAATAGAGAAGGCACATGGAGCACAATTAGATGCCATAATGCAAAGTCTGACTGAATATCATAAATCAGATTTCATGGAATGATTATCAATATCATCATTCAAGTCTAGAAATGCTGAATAAGAAACTGAAAGCCTTTATGCAAGTGCCCAAGAGGAGACTGATCATCACACACCAAAAGAGGACGTGTTTGGATATCAAACTAGCAGCCACATTTTATCTGTATCTTCATGGGTTGCTCCATCAATTTGTGCTCAATTATTAGTGTGAAGCCTTCAAGAGGCAAATTGCTGACTGCATATAAAACATAAATTACAATACAAGTCAAATGCTGTTGGAACAGTTCAAATAAAAAAGAAGAACCCAACATTCCATTCCATTCCTGGCGGCACTCTTTGGAATGAAATTTCAGTCTCAAAACTCCTATTAGAAGAAATGGGAAGAGGAGGTAATTTTCACCTGTCTCCTCCTCCTTCTGCAGGCTTCAGAGATGTTGCTGTACTAGATACATATCTAACCTTTTGAAGCAGATGGGGTGGGGGAGCGCATTCTCATTTGCTCAACGAGCATGCTATGTTTTTACTGTAGATATAAATTATGGCAAACAAAATTCAATAAAATTGCCATTCTAGTAAGTGAGAAGGTCAACCGCTGACTCTAGTTTTGCTTATTAACGGAGCTGTAACATTAAACTAGGAACTTGCCTGTAAAGGACTAAGGATGCAATAATAATCCTGAATAATTTTTGGTGGAAGATCCTGTAGAACATCTTCTTTCATTCTTCGCAACAAAAATGGCAGGACTTGCCTGTGCAATGCTTCCATTGCAAGAACACCTACAAATGTGCACAAATATGAATCAGCGTATAAATCAATATGAACACATTTTATTTTGATATGTAGTACTGGCACATATATAACAGAATGCAGAAATTTCTCCCAATAGGGACAGGCCCTTAATTCACAGCAAGAACTTTTTACTTCTTACCTGCCTCCTGTTCTCGACTGGAGCTCCGAGCATCTCTGCTTGCTAATATCGGTTTCCCATAGCGAGCTGCAAACTGGCGTTCAGTACCCAAAAATCCTGGCATAAGGAAGTCAAAGAGTGACCACAGTTCTAAGACGTTGTTCTGAATAAAGCAGAAAAATATATTAGAAAAATGTGTTATTTCTCAGAACTAGGCAAGTTTGGATGAATTTAATATACGACAAGAAAGCAGATTTGTAACATTTACTCTAACTGCCTCCCAAGACAAGAACCTCTCATCAACAAATGACTGGTGCAGATTATTTGTTTCCTTAAGACCTATGCAATGGAAGGCTGAAAGCACACTAAATTCAAACTGTGAAATATGGCAATTAAGCGCATCGTTTAGTCCTATGCATACTGAATTTTTCACATGTAAGACTACATTAAAATGGTGTCTATGAGTGGATGCCCAACAAACCTAAGGGAGAAATAGTTGCTTGTGATGGGTGTCTGTAACTTTACTCCTGCACATTATATACTCAGTCACACTTAGGTGGCTAATTCTCACATGTTGTAAGAAACACTCTGCTGCTGGCCCTAACCCTTTCAGCAGAGATAAATACCTGAATTGGTGTCCCAGAGAGTATTACTCTATAATTGGCAGATAATTGTTTTATTGCTTTCGACAGTTTTGTTTTTCCATTTTTGATGACATGACCTTCGTCAAGAATGCAGTAGTTAAATTTAATATTCCTAGAAAAGGAAACACAACTAATCAAACACAGAGAAGTTTGAAAGAAGATAATACAGTAATAAAAACAGAAATAGCCATACTACTTGCCTGAAGAAATCGATGTCATTTCGCACAACATCATAGGAAGCTACGATTAAATTGTGTCTTTTTACATGGTGTTGTAACCTTAAGAGGACAAACATACCAGAAAAATCTGTATTTAAATACTGTACAGGAAGAAATACAATTTCAAGTCAGATCTTAAAAACTGTGTTCTTACCTTGCCCTTTCTGTGGGAGGGCCAGTATAGTGCAAAGGATTCAGATATTCTTTGGAACAAAATTTACCCACTTCATCCACCCAATGGCCAGTGAGTGTAGGAGGGCAGACCACCAAGGATGGTAGTGGAACACTATCGGCCATTTTACTTCTTGCATATTCTTGGGCCCTTCGGAGAACAAGACCACATTACAAGAAATGTCATTCCTACATTGCAACAATGCTGAAGTACGGTAAGTTTGATCAATGCGACTCTGAAACTTACCTGAGATAATGATCTCCTGCAAGAATACAGATGGACTGCAGGGTTTTTCCTAAGCCCATGTCATCACATAGGATACCATGAAGCTTATATTTGTTGAGAAAAGCCAACCAATTCACACCTTCCTACAAAGGAGAATGAAAAAAAATATGAGGAAAGGGAAAAGATAGGTGAGTTAGACATACCTTATTCATAATCTTATTATTCTTTCAGCCATAGGAAAAGCCTTCAAAATAGTTTACAACAATCTGAATATTTTTCCTGAACTAAAAAAAAGAGGGAAAAAGGAAACATAATGGACCCTCCTCCCCATTTTCTCCAAAACTATTTTCTCCCGCAACAGACAACAATTAAAATTCAAGAAAACAACAACAGTGGAACAAGACTGATTTAGTTGTACATCTAAAAACAAGCAAAGACAGAAAGAGCTAATTTTATCTCCCTTTGGGAAGGTGTTCTGGTAACAGGACACTATTAAAAAAAATAAAAATAAAGGGTTCATTACCCATTCCCATGAATTTTACCACTTCGTAGTAGTATACCTCTTGGGCTCAGTCAGGACTGACACTTCAATAGGTTTGGTGCTAGCAACGAAGAACTTATTTCTATATCTATTCATCCATTTATTAATATTGCCTTAAAACATAATCCTGACCAGCTGGAGTATCATAACTTTACCTGTATGTTTTAATTTCAGACAGGCATTTAAGCGCAAAATGTATCTTTGAACATTCTCAAATTTAAATCCTAAACGAAAATACCGTATTTGCCGGTGTATAAGGCGACTGGGTGTATAAGACGACCTCCCAACATTTCCACTCAAAATGTAGAGTTTGTTATATACTTACTGTATAAGACTACCCCCTCTTCCACATGTGTGATTCTGGTTCCTTTTGCTGGGAGAGAGCGAGGGTTTCCTGGAAGAATGGCAGCATCAGCACCGAACAGCAGACTGTCGGGAAGCAGAAGAGAGGCGGCAGCCATTTTGAGAGGCAGCAGCCATGTGGCCACATCTCAAAATGGCTGCCTCCTCTCTGCTGTTCCTGACAGTCAGCTGTTCGGCGCTAGAGTCAGGCTGTTCCCAGGCTAGGAGTGGGGCTCTACTCGGTCTTACTACCACGTAAGTGACTTCGCTGGGAGAGAGGGAGGGTTTGCTGGACGTGCACCTGGCGTACAAGACAACCCCCCACTTGGAGGCATGTTTTTCAGGGCCAAAAAGTCATCTTGTATGCCGGCAAATACGGTAGTAAGAAATAACAAAATTGAAGTTGCTCACATTATGACTTATAATGAATTACACAACATCAATTCTAAATAATCAGATAAACTAGCCAGAACAACACAGAAACCATAGCCTCAAACCCAGAGAGAAAATTGTGGGTTTTTCCTTTAAGAGCTTACCTGCTGATATTTTCTAAGTTCTGCTTTAATTGGTACTGGAATTTTATAGTTTTCTAATTTCTTCCCATCTAATAATTGTTCCAGAAAATAACGCTCTTTGGCTTTAATTTTTATTAAATCTTCAGACATATTTGGTGGATCTGGAATGCCAGCCTGAAACAAGAAAATTTAAAATGGAAGATTAAGTTCAGGAATTTCCTGAAGTCTCTTTTCATTCCCATGTATCACTCTTGCATGCCAAGGGTGTACTGAAATCACATAACTAGGAGCCATAATTTTATTGAGTCACTTAAGTTTTCAGAATGTTAAATATTTAAATAAACTATCACTCAGCACTTCATTTACTGAAATTCTGTTATAAGTTATGCTGTGTAAGAGTGATGATGACATCAGACAAATCAATTTTCCAGAAATAGAACATTTCTTATTTCTTTCCCAAAGGTCCCAGTGCTCTTGCACAATTTCTTTCATCATCAGGAAGCCACTAGCAAGGAGACTGGTGGGATGCATGAGTGGGATCACCACTGCTGGGATGACTTTAGCAGGATGGTTTAAAATCTACTTTAAAAACAAATTTTAAAAGCCATAATGAACTAGCTAGAGGATATCTGGAAGCTAAGTGATGACAAACTGGACTTCTTTCTTATTAGGTTGAAAGGTTCGCGACTCATCCAAGTAGTTTCTTCAGTCTGCTTGGATAAGTAGCCAAACATTTCAGTCTATTAAGAAAGAACTCCAGTTGCCATCACTCAGCTTTCAGATAACCTCACCTGGCTGACTGAGAATCTTCACAGATATAGCCAGAGGATGGTAGCTATGGAAAATTAAGGGTCAGCTGAGAAGAACAGGTTAAGACTAAGGAAGAGAAGATAAAAGTTTGTAGACCTAGAGAGATGAAGTGAGAGAGGGGGAAACTTCTTGAAAAAATGAGAGCAGTGATTTCCAGATTAGCTAGACTGGAGCTATAAGAAAAAGAAGCCTCCTGGGCCATTCAAGGACAGGAACCTCTAAGGCAGGGGGTGGGGAAGAAAACAACCTTGACAATTTTTTTTGGTGTTTGGCTAAGAAGTGATTAACTGATTTTAAAAAAGAGTCACCTTCTGGGATTTTTCCTTATGTGGTGTCACTAAATGAACAATAGTGAGAACAAAAGGGTGTCCACTAGGTAGATCATTTTGCCTCCTGCCATTGGTGCTGTCAACGTTCAGCCTGCCCTTTGCTACGTCAAGCCTGGCATCCTTTTCCCTGCTAGTGATGCGGGCACAATATTATGAAGCAATATCAGGACATTTCCTGGCATTCTGAATTGTTAATACAGAAGCACAATATCTCACATTCATAAACCAGAGATTATTTGAAGAACTGAATTTTGCTAAAATGTGTGGTACAGATTTGCTGACAGCCTTAATTTAGTTAGCTCCATCTCATTTCAGAGGCCCTGAAGTGACAAATTACTCACTTCTCCAAAACTCAGTCCAACCTAGCACCATCCATCTATACAAGGAACAAGCATAGCCAGATCCTCTTCCAACACAGTGTGTTTCACAGCAGTGTATACTTTGGATTACAGATTCTAAAGGAAGATATGAAAAATAGTTCTCAGAAGTGTTTCTCCCACATCTTCACCTCCATTGTCTTCACTGGATTCTATTCAAGTAGCCAGGCAGCTGCTCTATCCAGATGGAGGGAGGCAAGCTGCATAGAGCCAGGATGGAGAAGAAAGGAACTGAACCAAATGGCAGGAAGGGAACATATTCTTCCTCTAGTTGCCCAGGAAAGCTTCCAATTGTGCAGATTCTGAATAAACATGATTCTTAGAAGAACTGACACACTACAAGCACCTCAGCTGTTGCAAGACTTCCATGCATTGATCATTCCCATCTTAGCAATCATTATCCCTACAGTTTGAATATCTAGGAGTGCAGTAAAAACAGATATTTCAATTAAAACTAAGAAGACTCTGACTTACCTCCAGAGGCATTAATCTAATTAGTGTTGCAAAACACTGAGTTGCCATGAAACGTACACTGTCTGTCTGATCGCTCATTCTGCCAAGAACTGGAACCACAAGTAGAACTATATACGGAATAATTCCAACATCTAGTTGCTCCATCACAGCTAAATTAGGAATTAAGGATCTTCACTATGTCATTTCAGAGATATTTTTCCACCAAAAACAATGCTGGATTCTTTGGGTTTACTGGATTTCTTCCTTACTACTTCTCATAGGATCTAAAACCCAGAGAACTGAGGAAGCTTGATATAAGTTATAATAACCATAACCACATAAAATTCTTATATTATATATCCTACTTGCATATACTGGCTGAAATCTGGTTGCTCATTGTTTTACTTGGGCAGGCCCACTGATTCATTAGCCAGTTAACAGAAGACTAAAAGAGAATGGACTGGAACTCAAAACAACCCTTAACAGGTTTCCTATAAAGTCTTTTTTCCTGCTAAAAATCCTGGTAGCAAAATGTAATATACACTATGTTAGCAATACATAAAGAAATCAGCTCCAACACAACTTTGGGAAAGCAGTTAACTTTTCATCTCTCAATTTCAACAAGAATTAGAAAAGGATACAGGCAAGAGCTTCAATTGCACCTTCTTGCTTGGTACTGTCATCTATTGCTCCCAGCCAAGGAAGGACTTTTTCCAGGAAAATGTGAATGGTTTCTACAGTAGCTATTTTGCTTATCACACCTACACAACGAGCAGCCATGTGTCTCACTGCAGTGTTGGGGTGCTGAAGGCACATGCAAAGATAAGGCAACTGTTGTATTAACTGCAATAAGGAAAAAAAAGAATTAAGAACACATTGAATACTATTTAGATACTGTCCCATTCAACCACAATATTCTAAGCTGCTTAACTTAAAAAATACTTTTATATATTAATCAACAAGAAGGCATCAGGCCTCTAGCCAACCTGCGCCTGGAACAAATACAGGGAAAAATGAGGAATGCCACCATAGTTGCATAATGCTACAAATGAAAAACAGAGAAGATTCAATGTTCTACAAATATTTTCTCTCTTATTTCTGATTGTATGGCTCTCATTTACCTAAGAAGTTCCTTCAAAGGGATTCCCATTTCTTATTCTAACAAAAATCACTTTACAGACTGCAATTATATACATGTCTTCTATTTACAGGAATGTGAAAGGACAAAAATCATATTTTTAAACATCAACATTAGTGATTTTTAAATTATTAAATTAATATAATTTCCAATCAATAGTGAATTTTGAATATGAAACACAATTAAAACAATTTAATTACCAATGGGTGAAGCTGAACATCCATAGAAGCTGCAGTGGTTTCAAAAACCTGTAGGGAGTTCACTAATTCCTGGGCTGGGCCATCTCCTTTTTCCAACAGCAACTTTCGATCTATTAGAGGAAATATCCAGTGTCAAGGAACTTTTAAAATTCAAGTTTTACCAAACAAATATCATGAGACATACATACCAAAATTGTCTATGTCAATATTGTTCCTCAAGGGACCAATCATAGCATCCCAGAGATGTGGCAAACCAGCTGCCATTTCACCAGCAAAATGTTTAGCAATTGTGGACAAAGCAAACTCTGCTCCTCTTCTCTGTACAAGGTAGGGTTTCTGAGCCTGCAAGTTCACAAGATAGTCAATAAAAGATTTATGTGGCAAAATAAAGTGGTAGATCTAAAACCCTCTTCTCAGAACAACCTGGGATGTATAAGGCTTATGTTGCTACCTGCATTTTTCATAATTTACAACCAGTTTTTCTGTTCTGTGGACAAATAATTTACTCTGGTTATTTGGGGTTAATCTCTTTGCAGTAGCTTCAAAGCACTTTCAATACAGCAGGAAAAAAACCCTGATATTTGGTGGATGAAATCAATAAACCAGCATCACCCGTATTTTCTGTAAATCATGCCAATTAACACAAAGCAACAGGTTTTCACACACAGAAAAGTGTTTGTTAAAAAGATGCCTCCAATCAAGGTAAAGGTAGAGAAGTTAGGCAATGAGGCTTAGGGACAATATTTTTAATTAATCAACAAGACTCTACAGAGCAGAACTACAAAACAGAAAACATTTCTTTTAATTTGCTTAGCAGAATCATAACCAGAATAGATGAAAAAAATACATGACTATTGCTTGTTTACACTGATTTTGCATAAACATGTATAACTAATCCATCGAAGTAACTACAATTTTCTAAAATCAAAATGAGACTGAGAAGATGGACTTAGAGCTTGTTTATGTATTTTCGTTCCGTGGAGATGACTCAATTTGACAAGCAGCCATCAGTAACCAGAGACAGGGTTCTCTATCACTTCAACATATTAGAACTCAATTCTTTTCAAGAACAAAGCTAACTGGATCCATTCCAGTCAGGCTTCAGGCTGCGACATGGCACGGAAATGGCATTGGTCGCCCTGTTTGATGACCTGTTGAGGGAGGCTGACAGGGGCAAAACGTCTCTGTTGGTCCTCCTAGATATCTCAGCCGCCTTCAATACCGTCGACCACGGTATTCTTCAAGGGAGGCTCTCCGATTTGGGAATTAGTGGTCTAGCACTTGCCTGGCTCTGATCCTTCTTGGAGGACCGTCCTCAGAGAGTACAGCTTGGGGAGAATGTATCGGTCCCATGGAATCTCAAATGTGGGGTTCCGCAGGGCTTGATCCCAATGCTGTTTAATATCTATACGAGGCTGCTGGGTCAGGTCATCAGGGGAAGTGGGGCTTCATGTCATCAGTATGCTGAATCTTTTTTTCCTACAACAGTGGGTGCCGTTTCGTCCCTTCAGCGCTGCCTGGAGGCTTTAGTACAATGGATGCAAACAAATGGACTGAGGCTGAACCTGGACAAGACGGAGGTCCTGGGGGTGGGTGGCCCCGCCATCAGTGGTTTAGGAAACTCCCTCCTTTTTTGGGGTGTGTGTGTGACTCTCACACGAAGACTGAAGTTCACAGCTTGGGGGTCCGTCTGGATCTGGATCTTACAATGGAAACCAAAGTAGCATCAGTGGTCTGCACCGCCTACTTCCATCTTTGGCGGACTGCCCAGCTGCAACCCTATCTTGATGGTGGGGCGCTCACCACTATGGTCCATGTGCTTGTACTCTTCAGATTAGACTACTGTAATGTGCTCTACATGGAGCTACCTTTGAGATTGATGCGGAAACTTCAAATGGTGCAAAATGTGGTGACCAGACTTCTCACCAGGATGAGAAATCATCAACCCTCACTCTGGTTGCCCATTCGATTCTGCATTGATTTCAAAGTATTAACAATGACATATAAAGCCCTAAAAGGTTTAGGACCTCAATATCTGGTGGAATGCCTTCTCCCACCTAGATCCACCCATATCACTTGCTCTAGCCAGGGGCGGTGGCTGAGGGGCCTAACACCAAGGGAGGCCTGGAGAGAAAGAACAATAAACTAGGCCTTCTTGGCAGTGGCCCCTCGTCTTTGGAACAGTCTACACCCAGAAATTTGCCTGGCTCCCTCACTGGGTGTTTTTAAGAGCAAGCTTAAGACCTGGCTCTTTAGGCAGGCCTTCCCTCCTGTCATTATATAATTCATTTTCGCTATCTTGAATTATGTTATTGTTATATTATACTGTTAATGTTTTATGAACTTGTTGTTAGCCGCTGAGAGTAGACTTCGGTTAAGATGGGTGGGATATAAATAAATAAATACTGAATTTTTCCATGTATAAAATGAAAACAATTAAACGAAAAATTGAGGGTTGTTTTATATATGTAACTGTTTTCTTTGCAAAACGTGGAGAGGGAAAGCTGCTTTTTGCAACAAAAGTGGAGGGGGGAAAGCAGGAATTGCTTTCCCCCCAGTACTTTGTTGCAAAGAAAGAAATTTTGGGTTAGAAAATTGGGTGTGTGTGTCTTATACACAGAAAAATACAGTAATTGAGTTATGAGTGACCATATAATAAAGTTATGCGTAGAACTCACAATACATCTAAATTCAAATGAATCAGAAAGATTATTCATTAAAATATTCCTAGCATGATTCCCCATTTTCTTAATTCTCTCGTAAATAGATCCTGCTGGTGGAACAAAATAAGTGTACTATTTTTTGCGTGATACTTCAAACTTCAAGAAAATACTAAATAATTAAGTAGCAAAGGAGAGACAGGCAAAAAAACCACAAAAAGTTGATAAACCCAACTTTCTTAGTATATTTTTTCAGAAGAGGAAGAGTCTGAAAAGGAGGGAAAGGTACAGCAAGAAAAGGAATCATCAGTATTTTTTTAAGAAACCAGAAAAAAACTTTACATTCCTATTTGTTTACATTTAAAAATACATCTTCTCCATGATCACCTTAGTGATGCCTTTTTCTAAGCAAAAACCATAGGATCATATAAGCTATCATGGCAGAACACTACATAAACAGGAACAAAATTGAAAATTAAGGTTTGCACCCACTTCATCAAGCTCTGTTATTATGTTTCCACTACTGCTTGTAGGCAGATCTCCAATTTGAGCCTTGGGGGCTTTTGGTGTAGGACCTCGCCGGCTTGTGATGGCAAATGCAGCTTTTTGATGTCTATATAGTGTGATTATGCCTCTATGCTTGGTGACTGTATGGTGCATTCCATCTCTTTCAGAATTAGACCCTACAACAAAGGAAATCATTAGAAACTTTGTTTTCCTTTTATTTTATTTTTAAGCTGAGGATAGGGTAAGGATTACAGAAGGTAAGGGGAATATGGGGGGGAGGGGGGAGAAAGAGAACATAGAATGTACTGTCATCAAATCCTGATTGTCCGTGTTACAATATCAAGGTCACTTTTCGCCTTTCTACAGTTTTGATTGCCCTTCCATATTACTACTTGCAGTTCCATCTTAGTTTAATTCTACGTTAATCAAGCTCTATTTACTGACTCAAGCCATTTATGTAAAAAAGCCAATCGGTCAATTGCCTTTTGTACTGACAGTCTTTCAACACTTCCAATAGTATATCCACTTCTGCTGCTTCCCAAATCTTCTCCAGGAGCTCCTCTTGCTTTGGTATCTCCGATTTCTTCCACTTCTTAGCATAAAGAATTCTGGCTGCAGGAACTATACATATAAAACTAGATAACTCTTTCTCTTATCTGTATTATCTGGTATAATATTCAGTAAAAACAATTCTGGTGTTAGCGGAACATTACAAAGCAATATTTTTGTAACGAAGTATGTACTGCTACCCAGTACTGTTTTACTTCTCTACAAGTCCACCACATATGATAAAAGCTTCCCTTTTGTGCTTTATACTTCAAACATACATTTGACGCCTCTGTATAAATCTTTGACAGTTTTTTCAGAGTGAATAATTAGAAACATTTTCACAGGATAATTGTGTTGCGAGAAGTAGCAGGTGAAGCCAGCAACACAAGTTTACCTGCATGAAATCTGGAAGGCAAAGAGAAAACAAAAGGAACAACAGGAAGAGCAGAAGGAAAATATAGCTTCAAGCATCATTTTCCTAACAAAGCTGAAAAGCAAAATATAGAAAGGAATGACAACGAAAGCCATGTAAAAAACTGGATGTATGGCAATGGAGAGCTCCCAATCATTCCCAGCCTTTCCTCCTGAATTAACCTGCCCCCTTGCCCCCAGGAATGATGAACAAGAGGATTTTTTTTGGGGGGGGGGAGAAATGTATTTTTTTTAACAGTGAAAAGACATAGAAGAAAAAACTGTCAGTGAAGATAGAGAGCAGGTAAGTCCTGAAGGCCAGTAAAGCATGACTTCAGAGAAAGTGAAACATGTTTAGTTCCTGACTTGAGACAAAGCTGAGCAAGAGCCAGAAAAGACAAGGAAGGCAACCCTCTATCAAAGAGAGGTGTTAAAAAAAAAAGACAAGGTCAGTGAGTGGTGAAGAACAATCCCCTCCTAGGAATCTTCTGTACTGCAGGAATATTTCCCTGGAATATTAACTTGCCATTTGTTAGAATATGTCCCTGGAATATTAACTTGCCATTTGTTACCAATTAACAATCTAGAAATATATTGGGCTTTTATGAAGAACAAATGACATTTGAAAAACTATTGTTAGGGACAAGTGATAAAGTAATTAAAATAATGTATGAATATCTCTTAAATATGAAAATGGAAGATGAAGTGGAGAAAGACTATGATAAAGTGGGTACAAAATATTGGTCATAATATTGATTTAGAACATTGGACACACATTTGGCAGAATATTACTTACAAAATCAGTAGATTTCAAAGAAAAAATATATAAGATGTTTTATACATGGCATATGACTCCAGCTAAACTTTCTAAAATGTATGAAAATGTTTCCAACAACTGCTGGAAATGTAAAATACAGGAGGGCACTTTCTATCATATTTGGTAGACATGTAGGGAAGCAAAAAATTACTTGAGATTAGAACATGAAATGTTACAAAAATTGTATCTTGTGTGATATCATTTAAATCAGAATTGTTTCTATTAAATATTATGCCTGGGATTATAGATAAAGAAATGAGATATTAGATAATACATGTAATTACTGCAGCTAGGATACCATATGGGAAATATAGGGGGGAAAAGCAGAAATACCCTAGCGGAGCTGACAGAAAAGATACTGGGAGTGGCGGAGATGGATATACTAACAGAAGCACTAAATGAAAGCTCATCTCAAAAAGTACTCAAAAACTGGGAACTGTTTTATAGCTGGACTTGAAACATGAATTGAAAAGCATAGATAAAAGAAGAACGTGAAGGTCCAACTAGGGAATGGAGAGATTGGTATCTATAGCAATTCTAGTAAAACTTGTTATATTGTGGTTTGTTTTTTGTTATCTTCCTCTTTTAGCATAATTATATAAGTGGATGTAAAAGTTCTCTCTCGCTCCAGAATTTTACTTTTTCCCCACCCATATCTATTTCCCCTGCCCCCATTCCCCTACTCCCATTCCCAATGAAAAGAAATTTTAAAAATGTCAAAAAATATTCTAGAAATATACACCTATATTACAAAAATGTGAGGACTTTATAAAAGCAAATTTTAAGGTGCAAATATTACAAATCAGTACAAAGTTATACATATGTTACAAATCATTTATCAGAATTTAAGATTACAAATCTGCCTTTGTAAACATTCCCACTTTAAAAAAAATTATAACATTTGTACAATTCTAGTACTTCTCATTATACAACAGTTACCTTTCCTTATTTTGCAAATTAAAATTCTGACAACAAACAGATGCAAAGATATGGCTAAAATGAACTATTATCCCAGCCAATATAATATGAGAAAAAAAGTTTATGTTGCAGTCTTTATACATAGGCCATTATAAATATGTTTATCATAGAATGATGAAAAAAGACAGGACATTTTACTCTCTAAGACGATCCACTACAATTATAAATGTGTATTTGGTTAAGTCAGGCTATAGCTAAAATACACAATCATTCAAAGCCAAATCACAGGGCTTTAGCTAAATGTAAAAAAAAATATGTAACCTTATCCTAGTTTGGTATAATTATATGCAATCTGCTTTTGGCTCATGCATTCCCTTCACTATCATGTGCAGAGCAGTGAATGGATGGGCCCATTATTACTCAATACAGAATCTCCTGTCTCCTGGGCTAAACAAACATTCAAGTAAACAGTAATCTCTTCTCCCCACAGGGAGTAGAGAAAGGCAGCCTAGAGTCCAAATCCTCCTCTCATGGGTGAATTTCTGGGGAAAATCAAAGCTGAACAGACTTTTCTACACTGTCAATTTGAACTGTTTTTCTGAGGAAGCTGATACCCAAAAACTACCCAAGAACTTATGAGAAATCTGAAGCATTAATAGCACATCACAATGAAATTACTATTTATTTGAAATGTTCCTCACTAAGAAGTGACGTCCTTTTTTACGATCTTTAATCCATTTTTCATCAACCAACAGAAACAAAACAAAATCTGTCTGTTGGAAATTCTTTTAAATGCCAAAGATAGCATCTGGAAAGAATTAATGAAAGATTACCAGACAGAGGCACACATTTCATAGATAACTTTAAAAAAAAGCTAAAATGCCACTGAATCAAGGATTATTCAAACAAAAATTTCCAAAACAGTCTGTGGATTCACAGATACCGTTCTTGTATTATGTTCTGATGAGTAATCATCTAATTCTGCTTCAGAATCTAAAGGCTATATTGGAATCAAAGATCAAAACTCATGCTCCTCAGAAGTCTGACAGCTAGTCCACATACCTTTTGAGTTTTCATGGCTGGTCAGGGGCTGTGCAGGACATGATGCTAATGGAGTGAGATGTGGGTCCACACATAGAGAACTGCAAAGATTTTTTACGATCTTTGAATTGGGACACGGAGATCTTGTCGTACACTGCTGAAGCAACTTTGCTATGCATAAAGCAGCATAATTTTGCACTAGCATATTTTCTTCTTTCTTTACAGCCTCCATCAGTGGTTTTATGACTGGATTTAATTTTTCTGGAAGTTGTTCCAAGTTCACAACAGCACAAGCAGTAAAAGTATGTACTCTTAAATGCAATGTTTGCCATTCCTGATTTGTTTCTGTAACAGTCATTTGGACTTGCTGCCGTTTGCTTTCTAGCTGCTGTAAAACTTTAGGATTCAGATTAACAGAAGATGTAACTTCATTGAAGATAGTTGTAACCTAAGAAAAAAGTCAAAAGTAAGTTGCTTTAATTACCACAGGAAAAACCAAGAACAATAAATCACTTAAAAACAATGAAACACATGGTACTCATTCATGCTTATTTTAAATGTAAGTGATAACTGTTCTGACTCCAGAAGTAATCAAGGCAATCTAGATTATACCCATATTTAAAGTAAGACTACACTGAAGAAATAGGAAGATCTCATGTACTGGCCACATGAGATGCCCAGGATGCTCTAAAAAGTTTAGAATGGATAGTGGATGGCAGAGAATGAGAATAACTTAGGTTACTCTGGATAACATTTTCTGAAGCTTTGAGATATATCCATTACTACATATTACCCTTGGGAAGCTGGAGGTGGTCAAACAGGAGATGGCAAGAATAAACATTGACATCCTGGGCATCAGTGACCTAAAATGGACAGGAATGGGCGAATTCAGTTCAGATGATTATCATATCTACTATTGTGGGCAAGAATCCTGTAGAAGAA